GACATGTTCCCTACACATTGGCTGTTGGCACTGCAAGCATATGTAATAAGTTTTCCTATCTAAAGCCTATGGACAGAATGAACATCTTCTTTGTTTTTCTATTTTGTTTACAGCTAATATATATATCGCGCGGATCTTGATCTTCTAGAATGTCTGTGTGTTTCATGAATTCTTCGATTTGAATTCGTAATCTTGTTCGTATATTTACTTACAATTTGATTTCGAAATAAAAAACGTAATAACCACACAGGGTTAGCGTAACCCACATAGTAAGTTCATGGCGTTCTATCTCGACTAGTTCGTGCACACTGAGACTGCCAGGCGGATATGTAATAGGGACGCGAAAGTTTTTTTCCCCCACTGCTCCTACTCCACACTTCTGATCGTTCACAAACGCCACGCGTTTTTTCAAACAGACTGGGTTACCGTAACCCAGGGTGGTGTTCAAGGGTTAAGACCAAAAAATCAATTCGACGCTTAGTTTGACAGGATTTGATACGTAGTACATAAATTCACATCGAAATATTTAAGTACTAAAGATCCAGCTTCAACCGTTATAGGCTTTATTTCCTATTAGTTTATTTCCTATTAGTTATGTATTCATATGTAAAGTCCAATAAAATTCTTTAAACAAACGGCTTTCAAACAAATCAAATTTGACAATGAAGGAGCATAAAAGCCAACGCAGGATGACAATAATATATTACTTTACTTTACATATATCTCGATAAACGTTTCGACCATATATGGTCATCATCAGTATCGCAAATCAAACATATCAACCGCTACTTATAAAATTATCGTTAATTCATTGTCTACAAAATATTTATATTAACACAAATGTTTGTCACGAAAGGATTCTTCATTCTCTTTGTCCCGTTACAAAATACTGCATTGTTGAATGCGAAAATTATTGTTACTTTATTCGAAATCACACCGGCATCTCAGACTCTCACAGGATTCCCAAATTCTATATAAATTATATAAACAACAATCTAAATTATGTATTGGTCATTCATTAGATATGATAACCATAAAGTATGAAAATCAACTAGTCATATTGTACGTTAAAAAAATTAATTTAAAAATATGTTAAATTATAAGTAACAATAAAAAGTTGTTTTTTAATAGTACCTGTGAGTCGAACAGAAATACCAATGGATAAATCATAAAATATCACATGTTAAAATCACTAACAACATCTCAAAAAGACATGTATCGTCAGAAACACCAATGAATAAACCGCAAAGTATCATATGTTAAAATCACTGACAAGATCTCAAAAAGATATGTATCGTCAATGTGACAGTGAAGAAAAGACAGTGAAGTATCAGACTGTCACAGCAGTCACATTATATAAATTTATAAGTCTTAAATTTTAACTTTTTGACTAGTAATTTTTTATATATTTATACATCTTTAATCTTTAAATTTTTTACTAGTAATTTTATATATTTATACAATTTTAATCTTATAATAATTAACGTGGGGACTAATAGTTTAAGTAATTGCACATATATTTATTGAGCTCATAATCATAATGACTGGTACAAGCAACTTGAGACGCATCTTGTCTACATCATACGTTGAAAGAACGTAAGATCATAACGATAATCGTGAAAATTCTCTACCAACTAGTCGTTCAACCGATTGCGAGCAATTTTGTTTTCACCCTCCATCTATGGTTGTTACATCGGATTCACATAAGGTACGAACTACATATATTTATAAGAATATTTCAATGCGTCTTTTATACCATTTATTAATGACTTAATTAGTGACTATTCAAAATACATCTGACTTTTTCACTGCGATTTTGTTCTGCGAATTTATAACATCTGATGATGGCACAATTATGATGCCGAAACATATAATGTAATACAATGTAACGTTAAGTTTTTTAAATTAAATTGATATTTTATATCAATTTATCAGAATGTTAAAACTTTAAACGTTTATTACACATATCTATATTCGAATTTGATTCTAATTTGCCCTTCTATGTTCTTGATATTTTTAATATACTTTTAAATTTATCTTTTTGACGTACAACATGACTAGTTGATTTTCATACTTTATGGTTATCATATCTAATGAATGACCAATACATAATTTAGATTGTTGTTTATATAATTTATATAGAATTTGGGAATCCTGTGAGAATCTGAGATGCCGGTGTGATTTCAAATAAAGTAATAATAATTTTCGCATTCAACGACGCAGCATTTTGTAACGAGATAATGAGAATGAAGAATCCTTTCATGACGGACATTTGTGTTAATATAAATATTTTGTAGATGATGAATTAACGACAATTTTGTAAGTAGCGGTTGATATATTTGATTTATGACACTGAGGATGACCAGATATATGATCGAAACGTTTATCGAAATATATGTAAAGTAATATGTTATTGCATTGTCACCTTGCATGAAGCTTATGCTCCTTCATTGTTCAAATCCAATAAGATTCTTATTGTTTGTAAATTATAAACTTTCTTCTTTACCACAATACAGGCGAATAATGTTTTACCATAATATAAAAAATGCTTCTACATGTTTCTTGAAGAAAAATTTTTGTTTGTAAAGATATTCTGCATAATATTTGTTTTGAGTATTGTGGGATATTTAAACGAATATCTCTCTAAGCTTTTTCTATATTTTAAATATGAACTTCATTATCAGGATTTATAAAATTATACGGATGATTGTAACTGTTGAGTATTTGTGTTGTTAGATTCAAATTAATTATATGCTTTCCGACAATCAAATACATTAATTGTACCCACAATCCATTTTTGTTTTATTGTTGATAATGTTTCTAAGTACACATTCAATAAATCATTTTTTTTGTTTCGCGTTCAATTTCACGAAAGATCTATTGTCCAGTTGCAAGTTGATCTTTGAATTTTCGCTTTCCAATCTTAGCTTCATCTATTTCCACCACAATATTTTTTCCTCCAATCATTTCATCTGTATCATCAATCTATTCAAGACAAAGTTAACGCTGAGTCTACAATAGGAATCATAAATGGTCGTATGGTCTTAAGTCGTAGGAAATCGGTCAATCATATTCGATTATTTTCTTCATATTTGATTGTGATTGGTTAATTTCCTACGACTTAAGACCCCACAACAGTGTTCTCAGATCCTGGAACCCCCTCTCTCTTTGGCGTGGGATCTCACGTGTTTTCGTTATGTGATCTCGTGTGATCTTACTACCACATGCTACGATACCATATGCGTTTGAACTTAGCAATCATGTAACGAGATCACGTAAAACTCCACGCCAGAGAGAAATAGGTCCCACAGAATCTGAGAACACTGTCCCTGACAACTCACGACCATCTATGACTCCTATTATACATAGATGTATAAGAGAAATAATTCGGGGAATATTTCTAATAATTTCGAGAAATAATTCCAATAAGAAAATAAAAAATACTTTGACAGACACGCGCAAAGATAAATATAACAAAAACTAACCTCACGCAAAAATTTGACCAATGGACCATTGTGATAAATATAATAAGGTAATACCAAATTCTTCCATTAAAAACGTTTGTCGAGGAGAGCGTATTGTTAAAAAGTATTCAGTAAAGAATAAATTTATATATTCATTGTAGATGTACATTCGAAAACCATGTCTTATATTCAGTGGATTCAATCTGAAGTTATACAATATTTTGTATTGTTTCTTATTTTTATATTGTTTATATTTCGTGCTTTTAACAAGAAGCATATACTTCCAATTTAAATCCAACATTGTTTCACGTGAATATTTGATACATTCAAGAATAATTTTTTTAATCAGGAAATCTATTAACTTATCTTTATCTTCAACAAGACTCAAAAACTTATTATAATAGTTGCATGTTGAAAGCTGTTTAAAAATTGACAAGAATGGACAAAATTCATTGACGATATTTTAAACCTTTATATTGAAACGTAGTTATATCAAATACAAGAAAAGTAGCAAATACAAACAAGAAATCCCAATAAAGAAGTACGAATTACAATACAAAACGAATTACACAAAGACAGTAGGAAAAACTGAAATGTACAGGATCCGGCCAAATAACATCTAAAAGCGGGCACAACGTGATTATAAAAAAGTAAAAAAAAATATATGGAATAAAATTTTTCGATTTTCTGCTTAGTTTTCGAGAAAATCGAGTTTTAAAAGCCGCTTCGTACGTAAGCTGTTACGGCTAAGCTACGGTTCGTCGAGCGATGTATAACGCGTATAGTGTTTATAAACAATGATCTACGATGTCGGTCTCATGGCAGTTTTCATTCAAATATCACGACGATGATTTATACGAACAGGGAGCACGTCGATATGAGCAATACTGTAATTAATAAAATAAAATTTCGTTCACTAAAAATTTTCTTTGCGTTTGCCCTCAAACCTATATAGCTTTTAGATTTCGTATAAACATTGTTTATAAACATTATACGCGTTATACGTCGCTCGACTGTAGCTTAGCCGTAACAGCATATGTACACAGCGAATTTTCAAAGATTTTCTCGAAAACTAAGCAGAAAATCGAAAAATTTCATTCTATATATTTCTTTTACTTTTTTATAAGGAATCTTGTCGTGCCCGCTTTTACATGTTATTCGGCCGGATCCTGCATAACCGGGAGTAAAAATTTAATACTTTAAAGTATCTTATCTCAGAAATTATAAGGGATCGCCATCTCATTATTAAATCAAAGTTACTCAGAATCATGATCTTGATAAGATATGTCAAAATCAAGGTTATATCGGCGAGATTTAACCTTTTCTCAATAATTATTCAAATTTATTATCTCATTAATAATGAATGAAAAATAAGTATTTAAATATATTTGAATATCCATTAATGATTTGTCTCTATTTGAATCAAAATGTTATCAAAGTGTTATCAAGGTACTTTTTCCTTTTGCTCCTCAAAATATAAATTTTCATCGATTTTTGCTGCAGCACGAAAAATAAAGTTACGTGTGCTTGACTCAGGTAATTACAGCTGCTTGAAGGTGGATTTGATCTTCACGCGAGATCGTTCCTTCTATTTCACTACGGTTTTCATCCCAGGAATTATTCTAGTAACCAGTTCGTTCATCACATTTTGGCTTGAATGGAATGCCGTACCGGCGCGAGTGATGATTGGTAAGTCTACATAACCTAATTTCATAACTTTTTAAAAAGAAAAGTATACGATACGATGTGTGTATCTTGTTTATATATAGGGTATCTCATCTAACTCGACTATCTGAAATATCTCCCTTGATTTTTATGATAGGAAAAAAATGTTTCAGATGAAAGTGAAATGGTTTCAAGGGGGATGTATTTTGGTCAAGTTGTTTTTCTTTTATCAAAAAGATATGAAGGTCACCTCCACTTTTTTAAATGGAATTGTATAATTTTTTTAACACAATATGATTCTTCTAATTATTTTGCATATAAAAATATTAAAGTAGAGATATAAAAAACCAATAGTTTATGAGATATTTTATACTTTATTTTAACATATATTGACATAAAATGTTAAATAATTCATAAACTAATAATTTTTTTATAATCGTACCTTAAGACTTTTATAAATAGAATAATAAGATGAATCAATTGGTGCAAAGAAAATACATAATTGCTTTAAAAAAATATGTGAGCAAAATGGATAATTTGTTAAAATAAGCAACTATATGTTTTTTTCCACTAATTGATTCATCTCATTATTCTGTTCATAAAAGTATTAAGGAACGATTATTAAAACATTAATAGTTTATGAGTTATTTGACATTTTATATCAATATATGCCAAAATAAAGTATAAAATATCTCAAACTATTGGTTTTTTTATATCACTTAATACTTATATGCAGAATAATTAGAAGAATAATATTGTGTAAAAAAAATTATACAATTCTATTGTAAAAATTAAGGTAACCTTCATATTTTTTTTACGCCTAATCTAGAAGAAAGACAATATAACCAAAACACCCTTTGAAATCATTCCACTTTCATCTGAAATATCTTTTCCTTTCATAAAAACCAAACGAGATATTTCAGATGATCGAGTTAGATGGGACACCCTGCGCGCGCGCACGCACGCGCGCACACACACACACACACACAGGCGCGCGTGCTTGCGCGCAAATCCTAAGCTGCGTTTAGAGACTTTACCCGAGTGCACCCATGCGTCATTTTATTCTTATTTAACATTCTGTAAACACAAGGGTCCTAATAGCCCTGACAGGAATGTCCTACGGATTTCCTAAAAATGTCTCGTTAATTGAGCAGAATATTATGCCCAGTAATAAGTGTTTTACATATAATTATATAAAATTATATAAATATATAATTATATATAAATTTTATATATAATTATATGAAATTTTATGTAATGCTGTAATTCTTATATATATTACAATCGCACTCACAAACATATAATTTCGTCGCTTGTTCACGATCCCGAATCTCTAAAATTTTAAACATGTTTTATCAATCATATGAGCGCGAACGTAGCATGGTAAATAGCGCGCAAGTCTACCATGTTAGGGGACTCGTTCGATCCTCAGCAGATCTAAGAAATTTTCACACGCTCGTATCTCTTCTGCGGTGGTCTGGCAAACCATTAAGAGTATGTATTGTCAAGAAAAATCTTTCAAACTGCCGTTCGGAACCGGCGTCAAATTGTAGGTCCCGTATGCCTGTGTACAACCTTGCATGTGCACCACGAACATATATGTACGACAGGTAGCCCTGTTCAGGCAAGGAAGGCATTGCACGCTATAAAACCGGGGATAGATAGATATCCATCCAGACAGCACACGACATCCATTGGACATCCAGACTTGGTTTCAATCTGGTCCAAACGTCCATGGACTTAGTACAAATGTTTTAAAAACGTACGTTATTCAACGTATAAAGTATGTTCACATTTGGACATTTTAAAAATATTCCTCATACAAAAAATTTTCTAAATCTGCTCACGACGTGTTGCTTTCGCTAACTTGACAAGTGAAAATTTTTGTAAGACCGCACGAGGAATTTTACTTTTGTTAGTATGTACGGATATCTTTTGAACGTCCCATGGACGTCCCTAGGACATCTGTGCTGTGATGAAAATTTTCAACGACGAAAAATCTACCCAGATAACCAAGCATGTGATATCCCACGATATCCTCACAAAACACCGCTACCATACTGTTACTGTACATGATAATTGGTACTGTGAAAGTACAGCATATGATTTCCTAACCTAAAAATAGTCGTAATAACATTAAGATTAAATATTAGACAGTAACTGACTGGATGTTCAGTTGAACTGCACAAATTTCTATTAGGACTATATTCAACAGATGTATCGCAATTATACATCCATGATTATATAGGTATTCGATTATATCATCGAAGTATAGCGGTTTCCATACGATTTCAGAAGTCAAGCATAGTGGATGGCGGTATGTAACTGGATGGGCGACCGCTTCGAAGCACTATGAAATTAGTTCCCGAATTCAGGGAAAAACGTTTTTTTTTTAATTATAATTTTATGATGTATATTATGGAATAAGATATTAATCAATAATAATACTCATATAAGAATCATTTTGTCTTGATTGTGGTCTAAAATTTGTTTAATGTATTAATTTGGTCCAGTTTTAGTACATTGCGTCTTAAAATGGACGTTTTTAAAAAGTCCAAAATGATAACACTGGATGTTTTTGAAACGTTTTTAAAATATCCATGGATCTAATCTGGATGTTTTCGATATGTCCAAAACGTCCAACATGTACGTTTCAAATACATTTTTAAAACGTTACTGTGCTGTCTGGGCACATAAAAATGTACGTTATTCAACATACAAAGTATGTTCACATTTGGACATTTAAAAAATGTTCATCTTATACAAAAAAATTTTCTAAATCTACTCGCGACTTGTTGCTTTCCGCTGACTTGACAAGTGAAAATTTGTTTAAGATCGCACGAGGAGTTTCATTTTCGTTAATATGTACGGACGTCTTTTGAACGTCTCATTGACGTCCCTAGGACATCTGTGCTGTGTTGAAAATTTTGAACGACAAAAAATCTACCCAGATATCCAAGCGTGCGATATCCCACGATACCCGCACAAAATACCGCTGCCGTACTGTTACTGTACATCTGCCACGTGGTGGCGGTGTACGGCGTAACCGTACTGTAGCAGCATAAAAATACATACATACATGTCATGGTTCATGATATTATAGTACAGCGTATCAATTTGTATTGTATACTGTACCTGTACTGCATACTGTTTAGGTACATCATGGCACATAACCCCTACCGTATCAATACGACGTACTATTATCGACAGGAGAGAGACTGTGGAGATTTCTAGTCGAAGATATATATGATAACTGGTACAACGTATAATTTTCTAACCTAAAAATAGTCGTTATAACATTAAGATTAAATATTAGACAGTAAGGGCCTGCGCACAATAGAGGAACAATAATTAGATATTAAGATTTCAACCTATCAGAAACCGTGTATTCTGATGTAATTAGTTTCTTTTCAAGAAGTCCAAAATGGTGTAACACTGGATGTTTTTAAAATATCCATGGATCTAATCTAGTTTTTAATATGTCCATAACGTCTAACATGTACGTTTTAAATATACTTTTAAAACGCTACTGTGCTGTCTGAGTAAATTATCAGTCATATACTCTCGACATAGATCTAGCGTGATATCAGAGTGATACCTAATGTAATATCTAACATAATCGCCAATAGTGATATTTGTTCTCGATCGAAGAAAAATTGCGTTCGACTGAATGCCGAGCTCACTGAGAGAGAGCGCGAGGGATACCATGGGAATGAAAGATAACTTTGGTAGAGTCAGCTTTGATCTTAAATAAAATATAGCTAGTAAGTTTATTTTTTACATTATTGTTAATTCGTTCTATAATTTGTTTTTAATTTATTTAAGCCGTTTATAATTTAAATTTATTTTATGTTTTGTTTTATCTAACATTGAGAATGACCCAAGTAGGGTCGAAACGCCGTTTGTAATTATATTTTTGTTTTAATTATATTTTATTATTTACATTACGTTGTTTTTTCTATGGCTCGTAGCTCTTCTCTACATAATTTATTATTTAATAATTAATTAGTGCTTTCTTTATCAAAAGATTCGATGTATTTCTCTATGTACATAGCTGATTGATTTTCTTTTAAGTCTTAGAGTCATAATTCTTAACTTACTTAAAACTAGGTCGCTTCCTATGTTTGCTGATGTCAGTGCTCTAGTATCCAGGATCAGTGAGAGGTTTATGCTCCGATTGGTTAGTATCTTATCTTGCGGAGGTATACTTTCAATGAATTAGAGTAATTGTTCATAGAAGGCATGTTTTTCTGTCTTGATCTTGTTCATATACTAAAAATCTGGGGCGTATCATGTGCATTCTGTCCCTCATTCTCAGTGTACACAGTATGCGTTCATTTACGTATTGTATCGTGCTCTCTCGTGTTTCTGTTTACTACTGTATATTAAAATATAGTTGTTGTATTTGGAAGATCCGCATCCCTTTTTACTTGTCTCCGATATTGCGCATATGTTGATATTATATCTATTAAGTTCCATCAGTATCTCCTGATCCTTTTGGTTTCACGATTTTATGCTCCAGCACGCAGTAAGTCCTCTTTCTATAGTCGTTTCCTTCTTCTTGCCAAGTTGTTTCTAGAAATCCGTATCTGAGATCTGTATCTGAGACATTTCTGATGTTTCTTTGAGTATTTTAACATTTTATCTTAGACAGGTTTATCATAGACTAGCCTTGTCTATGAACCTTCCTCTTTTTTCCAAGCTTGGGACCGGCAATACGGTGTTGTCAGGAGTTGTAATCTAGAACATATGTTAGGATAATAGTGTATATATCAAAACATAATCTCTCTTAATTTACTATTTTGCGTTAAGAAGCTAGAATCAAAAGTTTCAGAATCATGCGCAATAAGTTTTTACACAGATGCTCGGCGCTTGATTCTCCCATGTAATGGCATATTAACAACACAACTGGATTAGAGTCCAAGAAAACCGAGATGCGACATTGAGTCGGATTGCGCTAGATTACTGAGGGCATTTTTTTCCACAAGGATACTCATTGGCGTAGAATCTCACGTGATTTTATT